GGGGCACTTGCAACGCCCCCTGCATCGCTCAGCCCCAACTTGGACCTCATCACCAAGGACCTTAAACAAAAACTGTTTCAGGGACAGCTAGCTCCTTGTCTCCGATTACTGGCTGTGCTTTTGCTTATTTAAAACCCTCAGAACCCCAGATAAGGAGGTGGAAGTCCAGCCCATATTCTACGGTCACGTGTGTTGAAATTCCTATTACTCACGATTGAGGAACGCCTCCGATTCCAAAACCAGTTAATCCTCGGAAAAAGAGCAGCACGTAGAAATGAGGTGAGAAAGCACTGATAGCTCCCATCACTGATGCAACGAGAGTAGAAGCAATTAGACCCTGAAATAGCTTTAGCATTTTTCTTGAAATGTTACAGTTGAAAACACCCAAATACCAGCAAAAAAGCGTTCAGAATCAGAATACTGGACAGCCTCAGATTACTTGGAGAAGTATCGAGAGGCACAATGAAAACTGCGCACAATGAAAACCGAAAACTCAATCCTTCCCTCAACATGAGTCGCAGTGTATGTCACGGCGATGTACCCCACAACTGGTGTGTGACGTGTTGAGAGTCACCGCGAACGTGGTGCAGATCACGATAACGGCATATAGGAAGGGGTCCTCAAAGTGACTTGCTTATAAAAGGGTTGTCACCCGCGCTGGGCTAAGTTTCGTGACTCCGAGCTGATGGTTTACAAGGTGGACCGGTCATGAGATCCGATCTGCAGCAAATGGAATTAAATCACCACGGCATGATGATTCAAACGCGCCGTGGACGCGACGCTGCTCGCAACACCGCTTTCGCTGTGCCGCCACATCCCGGATCTCCTGACCTATCTACAAAAGATATAAATAACGTTCATTACTGCGAAGCACTTGGAATGTTTGCAAGATGTGAACTTCGCAAACAGATTCTTTAGACCATTCGATCAGGAGAAAGTTTCTTTCCAAAAAATAGGAGGAATGGGAGATACATGAGAGGTCTCCGAAAAATAAGAAAGACACAAGATAGGATGAAAATGGAAACTCACCACGCGCCTGCCAAATCGATCGCATGTCTTGCCCCAGAATGTACTACTCAGCATCATACCACTGAATACGCATGTGGTGACAAGCGCTTGTTGTACTGATGATACTCCCCATTCACAGGCAATAGCTGGCGAAAGTAACGACAACAGCATCATCTCCATAGCATCAGCCATCTGAAATTTATTGATTGACGAAAAGTGTCCAACTGAACAAGACTTCGAGGGTTAGGGGGTTCGGAATACGGTGATACGCAGGACCAACTCGGTCTACGGAGCATTTTCTACCTATAATGTAGTTCGCTGCGGACGGTTGGGCGTGTCAGGCGGGATGAGTTTGGCGCGGTGCCAAACCCGTTCTCCACCAGTTGTTAAAGCGAGCAAATGATATGACTGTATCGTTCGTATTACTCGTTTTCTACCACTTTTTGTCGCATGCGCGCTTCAACAAGAAGGCAGAGAACGGCTTTGACGGCGTGACACACTCATACTGCCTGACACGCCCAACCGTCCGCAGCGAACGGGTGTGTGGCGATTCTATCGTCGATGATAAGTAGGTCGCCGCGCTGGTGGGCGCCGCGTACGAGTCCTGCTGCGTCGTGCTCGTTGAAATTGTTAAAATGATCATCAAGCCATACTGTTTATGTTAATCCTGTACTGCTTGTCCCATTTTCCTATGATGATCAATGATTGTTTTTTCCGCATTCAAAAGTAAAGGGTGTAAGACTGGTCCCACGTTATTTGTTCAAAATTACTGATCCAATTTTGGGCTTTTCGGAACTTGTGAATACGCGGTCTTCGAGACTCATTTGTATGTCGGTAATGCAACTCCGGAATTGTCGCACCGCGCCGCCGCGCGAGACGCCGCGACGCGATGTGCGCGACGTGACCTGACTTGCCGACGATAGAATCGCCCGGGTCCCGCAACAGGTGCTTTCACAGCGGTGTCGCGTCGCGGATCTCTTGAACCGCCCTCTCTGAGATTATCACGATTACACGGGCAAGTTGGGACGACATGGGACCTTGGGCCTAGGTGATAGGCTCGCGACCCACTTTATGCTCATTTTTGAGCCAAAAAGGCCAACTGTTTAAGAACAAATTATTGATTACATTTGATTATTACTGGCTTGTGAGGATTATTGATTGAGCTGGTTGGAAGAGCTCATTGGATTGATCATGGATTCTTTAATCATGTAGTGCACCATTCAACACCGTTACAATTCATTCAGAAAAATACGCATTTAAATGTCACTACGATCACGATTACTGACCAAGCGCATGGCGCATCCCACAGAGAGTAATCAGAACTCATCACTTCGCTCTGTCTTTTGAAGGTCTAGCTTGTATTCCACGGGGATTTTACATCTTGCTCCTAGTTTTGAAAATAATCAAGCGATTTCGGAAGGGTGAAAAAAAAACTGGCGGAGTTGGCCAAGTTGGAATCCCCAGGGTGAGATGATGCGAGCTATCACTTCGCGGTACCTCTACCCATGCTATCCGTCGTCAATCAAAGAAGTGTGATTCTCTCCAGAGTTCAAGAGCTCCGACTTATACATCTAGCACTGGGCGAGTTCCGTAGGCCAGACCACTAACAGGGACCCACAGATTCCAAGCGAGCACCAGAGACATTAGCTACTTGACGATGAAATTTCCTTTTGGTCCTTTTATTTTTTGTCGATTTAGGGCGAATAAGAAGCCCATCAGTACTCCTTAGTATATCCACACACTTCTTCCTTTTTTTCAAGGTCCACATTCTACACAAAAAGATCGACTAGCCTAGCAAGGGAAAAAGACTCAACTACAGGCTTTACACCCCTCACAGAGCTCATAATGAGTTTCCGTGCAGATCCAAAAGTCCTCTAAGCTCTGCCTGAAAAACGAATGCGTTGACTACCCTGAGGGGATTGCTGAAGTGGGCTTTCGATTACGAGTTTTCCACCATAACAGAGTTTTCCAATCAACAAAATGTCATTTCCAGGCCAATGCTCAATCTGGTTATAGCAAACGCAAAACGCTTTTTCCATAGTGATTCATGCCCTCCCATAAAGTTGAAGCTGTAATTTCCCTAATGATAGGGAGCAAATATCACCCTAGTACCCTACCTTCTAACCCTATATGCCGGGCTACATTATCCTCGTGCTTATTCCAGCCAGTAAGGTTCATTTAGGGTGTGTTCATAATTCACGACGCGTCTATTCAGTCCATTCAGATTGGGGATTGAGCGCCTGCATCTGGCCACGCTCTATGGCTAATCGTTGGACCGTTGCAACTGCTAATTAAACCACAATCGTAATAAAACTTCGCAACGGTCCAACGAATAGCGATGGAGCGCGGGCAGATAGGTCGGCGACTGCGAAGTACGAGCACGGAAGTGTTATCTCAGGTGAAGGTATCACGGTAGTACATATCGTTTGCGCAGTGTCCAGGACCGAATCTCGGACTTTACCTGCCCCCAGCACCTTGGCTAATTTGCTACATACATCCGCAGTGTTGGGGATTGCGCCATGTAGTCGTTTTTATGTAGTATCACTGAAACGACTGTATAGGCAGGTTTCCTTGATGGTTGGATCCGAACTAATTGAATAACACTGTTTGTATGCGGCAGCTGCGCCCGTATCCATTGAGTTATGCGCGCATTCAATTTCCATATTAACCACAGGCTACAGACGTAGCGAAAAACAACTCGAACTAGAATATACTTGGATATTCTAGAAGGATGCACCATGCCTACGAAATGTGGCTGAAATTCTTCTTCTGGCGATTGGATGCATGCTAGAAGACTAGGCACAGTCAAAACTGCCTAGAACAGCTCGCAAACGTCCGTAAACGAAATTGGATCTATTAGGGATAATATGCAGCTAATATCGACGCAAGTCGGCGGATGGTCGCCGAGATAGTGAAATGAGCCTACGCCGCTGCTGAGGTTCTTCTACAGTGTAAGGACGGTTCAGGGTAGAAACAACCAATTAATCGGAAAACGCTGATCGAATGGGCGCATTCCGACGGCCCGCCTGATTCCGCCTTGGCGGTCCTACGACGATATCGATCGGAAACCAGCGAGCTATGAGCAGCATTCCTCTTGTTTCGTCATCCGATATTTAAGAGTTCGTCTTCAACAGATCTCTCTAGGCACGTTTTTCTGTTACATCCACTGTGTAACGCAATAAATGGCAGTCTGGCGCTAGAACGGATTCGTACCAAATGCATCGACTACGTGACCACCTTCACGCCTCATTAAACTTGTGGCAGAGACCCAGAACTTGAGTGAGCGAACATCGCCTCCCCTATTACCTGAACAGTCGCAGTTTGGTGTGGGGCATAGTTGGGGCTCAAGTCTTCGAGCGCACTTCGAGGGCGCTGCAAAAGTCTGTGCTGATTTGCGCTCAAAATTCGTACCTGCACTTCGGGTCGAGCATCCGTTTGAAATTAATTAGAGGCTGTGATTGGCTTGCTGAAGAAGGAGGGAACGCAGTGGCCACACAAAAGCTGTACAACCGTGAGCGCGCGATAGAAGTACACCGGTAAGCTAATGAAATGGTAATGTGGACGACGATATGCTGGCATTTTCTGGTGATGAATTCACCAAGCTGTAGGGCAAGAGGGTAGTAAAATTAAGAAGCACGAATCTTGCGGATCCCAGCAGTTTTCGCCTCTCCTTCAGAAGTCATGTGTGAACGAAGTCATACCCTCGTAGAGGGCGACAACTTGTACGTAGACGATAGCTTCCTAGTTGCCGGAAAAAATCTTCAGCGGCGGACAAAAAATTCCTTTTCTAACAAAGGACTTTTTCAAAAGATTCTGTAGCCACTAGGTGACAAAGTCCTCTGTATCCCAGCGCCTGTTTTTGTTTTGTCGTAGGTTTTATGTTCCCGAAGTTATGGTCCCTGAGAGGTTGAAAGCTCGCGTGCTCAAGAAATTCTGACCATTAATTCTGAGCCTTGCGACTTACTTCGAGACCAGTTCAGTACGTGTCAGGTTGGAAGATAGCGAGAAACCATTGATAGCTTCGTGGAATGCCGTATCCGAAGAAAATTGCACCTTTCGAAAAAGCTTCAACCTAATAATCAGTGAAATAGCTGGTTCCAATGCCGAGACCGGCGCAGCTGAGAGAAAGCGAATGGGCTAAGTCTCTCCAGAGTTTGGATTGATACTTCATCCTCTTCTTTCAGGTAGAAGGAGAGGGAGAGCTCGTACTGACCACTATTTCTAGGGGGTTGCACTGGCAAGTGATTTTCCCCAACGTAATGACCGTGGTCATACATCGCCTGCCTGAAGATCTCGTTTTTTCCTGCTAGACTAACGAGGCATTTTTCATGTATCCTCGGCATAGGTATAAAGGAAAATGCAGAAAATTCTGAATAAAATTTATTTTTCAATGTATTCCCCATCAATACACTTGTTTGCTCGGAAAACTGACTTTCCAACAGCCTCTAAAAATATTTTTCCTTCTTGTCCCCGAAATGAGCGTTAATTGACGCCTTCCATTTTTTACCGTCAGAAAAAAGTTTTCCACGAAGGTCATTTTTTAGGTCGGGTTACAAGAAGTAATCACGGATTATTTTCTCAATTTTCTTTTCATGTCTCCCGATCTTTTTTACTGAGTAATCATTTACTCATCTGGTTTTCTTTCACCAAGGATACTAGAATAGCATCGATTGTAACTAAATGAAATTTTGTATTTATACCCTCAGAGAGTGTCGTTACCTAATGAAATGATTTAAATTTCTTCGTCACTGCTAAATTACCCCGATACCGAGAATACTCTGAACGGCTATCGTAATCACCCTGTAGCCTCAGGTAGACACTCTGATCCCTTTTTGGTCCCTCTCGACCAGGAGTGCAGTCGAAAAGCTCCCCACTTACGGGATATCCGCCCATCTCTCTTTACGCGCTTTCAGGGCTCTTCAATGGAAGCGCGAACGGAACTGAAAAACGAGAAAAATGATCAAGAAAAAGAGCCATAACTGAGAATTGGAACAAAGAGACGTGAAACGAGGCGGAAGGAAAAAGCAGCCGATAGGACAAAATGTGGCAGTGGAAAACTAGTAAAGAGCAAAACTAACCCAAGCGATTCCAGTAAGTATACTGAGTTTCACTTGAAATCGTCCAAATCCAAGCGCTTCCACGGCATCATGGACAGTGAAAGTGCCCTCTTCTCCTGTTTCGGCCGCCATGGATGTCTGATCTGCTGGTTCGCCGAGTTCAGCGCGATCGTCCAAACCATAATAGTGGACCGATGGATCGTCTCGAACATGACGTAACCTGCAAGTATTGATTGCTAAACTGACGTGTCTCAATCGATCGGTATCGATTTAATTCTCCAGCAGCATATGTTAGCTATCAGAAGTCCTTTGTATTATTGCAAAGAGTGAGGGGCACGTCTAGCGCTAGGTGAAATTGTGGCGAAATGCAACTCAACTCCCCCTCCCCCTCAGACCCCCAGAATCCTCGGCACGACGTTCCTTCCCCAATGCTGCTAGTCATCTTACTGATTTCACCAACTTCCTACCACTTTTGCCACATTTTTTAAAAACTTCCCAGCGTTCCATCTTTGCAAAACTCAGCTTCGAGGGGAGGGAGGGGATTGCCACCAAGCAACTATGACAGTCAACTAACGAAAAGGTGGTTATACAGGAGTTCGGGTACACCCCATGCAGCCAGAGAAGGACCCGCACTCTACCGACCATACATATACCATCTACCCAGCTGAGAATCCCGAGCGACGCGTGCGACGTTTCCTGATATAAAAGCTCCAGGCGTTAACAGTATGTAAACAACTAATGATATGGTGTACAACCTGGGATAGCCCCAGGTGCGTTTGACTCCTTCGAATGGACACCACACGAGGAAAAAAACAAGTTTATTAGGAACAAAAAAATCCAACAACTGATGCCAACAATAGTTAGTACAATTAGATGACACACAGAAGATCAACCCAGCCTCTGAAGCTGGAGCGGAGCAGGCCCAGGCGAGACCCCCGAGCAAGAGAGAGAGAGAGGGAGAGCGTAGACCAAGCTTAAGAAAACCTCAAAAACTGCAGGACGACTCCTGGACCCTCAGTCTTTCTTTTATAGGTCCTCTACTTAGCCTGAGGGGAAATTGGCGGGTGTTCTCCATCGCCTAGGGGCAAATATCAGTACCTTTGATCTCTCTCGCCACCCACCGCCAGAGGGGGTTACCGTAATCCTGACCATATCGACACATCGCGCGCAGGGGGCTCAACATGATCTCCTCTTCTTTGGGATCTCGCCAGTGGCCCCCGCACCGGTTTCCTCTTTGACATTGCAAATGTAATATGATGCGTGTCTGTCATATATCGTTGGACAAGCCAAATGTCAATCGAACTATTACGTTATAGGAGCTTGCAGCATAGGAGTGACTGATCGTTGGGAAACATGAGAACGCCACAAAGGGCAGCCTGACAGTAAAAACTGCGTCCGGGAGTCGCATAATATCTTTTCATGAGAAATCGGAAACCTCTTGGTTCTGCAACCCCTCCCACACTTATAATGCATATCTGGTGCTGCTACGGTATACTCGGAATCCCTGAGATCGGGTAGGCGTGGCTGCGTACTTGATTTTGAAAATGGCGGCGGCCCAGGTTTTCGTGAGATATTGTCATTTTGGAGCATGTCTACATCTAACATAGAACAAGATGTGTTTCAAATTGAAGTATCCCACGAGAAACCCGTCCTATGCCATGCTCAAAAGCCACGCCTACTCCGTCTCAGGGATAAGGAGTGTACGTAGTTGCTACAGTCGTCATCCGGGCACTTGATTAGGGCGGCAAGGGTCGCGACGCGGCTGCGGCGTGCCACAAGCGCGGCAATCAGCTGTTTCCAGCCTATTTTAGCCATTTTCTCCCTAATTTACACTGTTATGGCTGCTTTTCTCGAGATTAGTTGTTCCTTGTCTTCACAAGGTAAATTATGATTGAGATTCCTCTGTTTTTTGCGCACAATTAAACAGTTAGGCAGACAATTGAACAAACACCTGAAAAAAAATCGCAAAAACACTCTATTACAGAAACAAAAAAGACTCCACGCCCTCATGTACTTCATAAAGACAATTAAAACAA